TCCCTGTTGCCCCTCCTGCATTGACTTTACCCCTAGATAAGCCAAGTCCTTCCTGTATCCTAGGCCGGATTATATTCCTAAAGTGCCTACATTGGCTGCCCACCCTGTGGTGTTGCAGGCTTTCTCCCCTCCTCTGTCCTCTGACCAGAACAAGAGAGGATGCACCACGCTGTGTAGTAAGCTTGCTCTCTGTACCTACGTTCCACCGCTCCCGGCCAGTGGCGTAAGTCAGAGCAGCTACTAGTCTGCTTTGACAGGAAAAGGGATGCTGTGTCAAAGCAGTGCATCTCTACTGGGATTGTCAAGGCTTTGTCCAAAGGGTTTTCTTGCAGGATGTGCGGCGCGGCTGCAGGGTGGTCTATGCCTCACACGGTCATTTTGTTATGACAGCCTGGATATTCATCCCTCCCCAGGTTCGAGTGTCCTGCACTGACCCTCGGGTTTGGGTATTTTTGAACAGGCCGTACCGGGGGTATGACGGAGTGGGTATTTCCGTTCCCATACTGCTAAATGCAACGAAGTTCCCTTTGAAAGGGAACGTCGGGGTTACGCATGTAACCCTGTTCCCTGAGAAGGAACGAGACGTTGCATAGCGCTGTCATACGCGGGCTGGCCTGTGAATTGCGTCTTCGCTTCGATAATAGAGGCTGGCGGCGCGGTTCACAGGTGCCATATATATATCATGCGACGCGCTTTAATTGCCACGTCACCTGATCATGGCAGGCCTACAAGTAGAGGCATGATATTTACACAAGCTTCAGATACCGGTTCACGCGCGCGCGTCCCATACTGCTAAATGCAACGTCTCGTTCCCTTCAGGGAACAGGGTTACATGCGTAACCCCGACGTTTTATTTTGAAAAATGACCGGATTCTCTCTGTTACATCCGTCTACGACTCGCTCTTGGCGCAAGTCAAGACGCTTGTCTCGGCCACGTGATATGTTACTTGGTCACGTGATACGTTAAGGGGTAGAGCGGAAGTTACTCATGCTATATTGTTGGCGTGATGTTACCATTTCACACTGGATTCACGTTTATTATTATATTTTTAAAATACCCCAGTTTTTATGCCGGTCGTATCATTTTATTTTGTTGTATTTATCCGCCACACCTTAAAGGCCGGTCCGTGAAAATATTGTCTGATATTAAACCGGTCCGTGGCGGAAAAAAGGTTGGGGGCCGCTGATTTACAACACATGATATGCATCACGATACATACTGTAGGTTTGTCAGCAAAGCATTAGTGTTGTATTGTAGTGTTGCTTTCTGGGAAGGTAGAATGGTGTACACACGCTCTCCCATCAAACACAGTGACACAAGCCAATTGCAGTCGTCTGTGAGCGCATGTATGCAGAAGAGGGTAGACAGCGCTCTTTTCAGAGTGTGTTACGCTGCCATGTGATGCAGCATCTGCAGCACTGCGAAAAAAAACTGTGGCTGGATGGCGTCACGTGTGTCAGAGGACGCGCGTGTTGGCGTTCACCCTACAAGCTCGGTAGCGGTCGTTATGACAGGGGCTTTGTCATAAATTAACTAAACATTGCTATTTTCAAGCGGACTTAAGACCAAGCGCAATCCTAATGAACTCCTTATACTTCTTCAGTGTGCTAGCTAACGTCCGTAAAAGGATGCACTTTAAGTAAGGAAGTGCTTACCCAATGGCTAGCATGCGGCGCGCTCACCGCTACAGACCGGGTTCAAATCCCGGTCAGCGAACCAACCCCACTCTTAGTGGTCTGTCCCTAGCCCAGAAAATGGCAAGGATTGTGTCAGGAAGGGGTTATCCAGTGTAAAAGTGTGCCAGAATCAATACGCGGATGGCTGCTCCGCTATTCCGAAAGAGGTAAAAAAAAATGACATGTAATGCTTTTTATCAGTTTATAGTTACTTGTAACACTGTGGAACATCTGTGAAACAATTTAAATTACAGCTGCTGTAAACACTGGTTCTCTCACGTTCTCTTGACGTCGACATGACGTCAAAGCACTGACACTGGACACGCCTTCCAAAAATGTTAAATAAACCCCCTGACAGAAACCCTCACCATAACAATCGACATCAGATGTCATTTAACGAACCTCGAACGGGTTTTTCAGAATCCGTCCTGTATTGAGCTTTGGCTATGTGGACTGTCCCGTCACCTGTGAATTAACATAGTCAAACAAAAGTGCATTAACATAAACCTGTGGTTTTGAGGTACGACAAATGTCCTGACTGTCAGGGACGTGCTATTAATCGATAACTTGTGCTTTTTTTAGAACTGTGGTATAAATGCAAGTAAATAAGAGCATGCTAGGTTTACGGCTTGGTTTACCGAGACCGCGGAATTGAAGCGTGGGCTGCGGTGCCTCGTTTATCATTTCTCAGCATGTTTAGCTGTTAATCACCGAGTGTGTAACTGATTAGGAGAAGACACTCTCCATACTGAGTGCATGTGAGCGCTTGGTGCTGGGACTTGTGCAACAGCTAGGAGAAAAATGAGAGTGCTGAGAGTCACTGAGGTGTATCGTGCGTGACCGTCATTAAGCCTTTAAAACAACGAAAGTCTGCCTTTTCTGTGGTGATGCTATAGGACTTGGATCCCGAGCATTTCCCATGAAACGTAGCTGGAATCCATCTCTAGCTGGCTGTATCGATAAGCCGAAGTACATCACGCCACTATGCGAGAAATTAACATTACTATTTCCCAGACGCTGACTGTAACACGTTTAAGATTTATTAGCGAGTACCTGGACCAAAAAGGAATTACTCTGACACCGTACCAGCTATGATGAACGGTTTAGGCTTATATCCTAAGAACTGTCAAGGCCAGGCCCATTACAATGCTGATAACATGTCAGAGCGTTAGAACAGCCTGTAGGCTCACTTAAACACAAAATGTCCATTAATCCACTCTACACCCTGCACTGCAGTGCCTCAGTTTGGTGGTTGTTAACAGCGGAGAAGGCAGACGCCTTGTACTGATGCTTGTAATCTCTTTGACCTCGTGAAGCCTTCTGCGTCAGACCTACTCATTAGTGCAACACGTTTTTCCAGACAGTAACCCGTTCACGTACAGTGTCCACACTTACAGCAGAAATATAAAATACACTTACAGAAAATATTAGATGTAAATCATCTCTAAATCACTGTCTGAGACCATTACTATGACTTAACATTAATTATTAATCTGATTTCTGTAGCTCTCTAGACATTCTCAATACAGCATGTATATATATATACGGTATACATCCCACACCAGATTTAGTTCCCTTTTTGCTGTTATGATAACCTCCACTCTTCTGGGAAGGCTTTCCACTAGATTTTGGAGTGTGGCTGTGGGGATTTGTGCTCACTCAGCCGTGTCGGGTGAGGAGGCCTGGTGTGCGGTCGGTGTTCCAGTTCATCCCAAAGGTGGTCAACAGGGTTGAGGGCGGGGCTCTATGCAGGACGCTCGAGTTCCTCCATACCAACCTTGACAAACCATGTCTTCATGGAGCTCGCTTTGTGTACAGTGGCACTGTCATTGTGTCTCCTAGTTCCAGTGAAGGGAAATCTCCACACTACAGCATACAAAGACATTTTATACAAGTATGTGCGTCCAACTTTGTGGCAACAGTTTCTAGAAGAACCACGTTTGGCTGTGATGGTCAGGTGTCCACAAAAATTTGGCCTAAACTGCATCAGTTTTGTGAATATTGTTAGATTTGATTCATTTTAGATGGAAAATGCACTTCATTTTAATTAAGTGATTAAGATGATTTTTAAAAAGTAATTATTCATCTGGCTTTTAAGGAATAAAAACAACTTTAAAAATGTTTTTTAATCTGGATATGTTTTTATCTACATCTAACTAAATGATTGTTTTTTTTAAACTTCGCACAAACAAACAACAGAAGCATTTAGTGCAACACAAGACTGCTCAGGTTAGGGACAGCGTTTCAGTTCACGATGACACGTTATTTGTCGCAAAGGTCTAAGACCAATTTAATGACTGCTCTGCGTCTCTATTTACATTCCTTCGTTGCATGATTGATCGGTTTAAATAGTTTAGAACAGCTGCTCAGAGGGTTTCAGGTACAAGCAAGTACAGAGCTGCCAACACTGCTAGCCAGAAAATTCTAACAGGCAAAATGAAAAGCCAGAATATTACAATTAACGCCGTAGAACATGTCAGAGAACAGGACAACTTCATCCATCCATTTTCTATACCTGTCACGGATCCCCCTTGAAGCAGCAAGCTCTCGCGCGGTTGCGCATGCGTGTTGTGTCTTTTGAACATGAGCTCTTTGTTTTCGTTTCTGTCAATGGCTGGGAGGACACGTGTGTTTTGTTTATGTTCGTCATGACCCCGCCCCGTGTCTCTCATAGGTTGTATCCCCATGTGTGTCTGAATTACTCCCAGCTGAATTCTGTTTAAGTTGATTCATGCCGGTATATATACTACGCGCCGTACTAGACACGGCGCGGTTAATTAAACTTAGTAAACATACTAAACGTAGTTCCTTGTTACTTATAGCTCACGCTGGGTTATCCGCTCCCAGATCATTATCATAGCTCTCGTTCGTGTTTATGCTTATGTTCATGTTTGTTTATCGACCCTGTTTTTCCGTACCACGACCTTGATCTCTGCCTTGCCCAATATATGCCTGTTTGCCGTTCGCCTGACCTTCGCCTGATTTTGGATTATGTTTCTGGATCATGTTTTGGGATTTGTCTGCTCTCCTCTCTTGTAAATAAACATCACTCGTTCTTAAGTGCGCTTACCTCCTTCCTTCATCCGCACCGTCACGACTTGTGACAATACCGCTTATCCTACAGGGTCACGGGGAACCTGGAGCCGATCCCATCGAGCAACGGGCACAAGGCAGGGTACACCCTAGGTGCCAATGCATCGAAGGGCACAATCACACACATATGCCTATCAATCAGCCTACCATGCATGTCTTTGGACTGGCGGAAGAAAACCAGAGTCCCTGGAGGAAACCCCTGCAGCATGGGAAGAAAACGCAACCTCCACACACACAGGCGGGAATCGAACCACCAACCCTGGAGGTGTGAAGCAAACATGCTAACCACTAAGCCACCATGCGCCCAGTTTCAACGTCATAAATGCTAAAACATACTGGTTGAACTGCAATTTGATTGGTAAATTGGTTGAACTGGATATATAAGCTACTAGTTGATATGTTTAATTTTGTTACGAAAACGGGTAGGTGTTAGATGTTTGTTGCTAGAAAAAAGCGACGTGTCATGTTTGTCTTGTAACCTTGAGCTTACATGCTTTAGATCCCAAGCTTAGATCGAAACCTGTATTTCTATTACTGCATAACTGTTACAATACAGTTATTAATATTAGTATTTGTACTACATTTAATATTGAAACGTATTTTCTTTTAATCGAACTGAAGTGAACAACAAAACAAAGACAAGTATATTGTAAGCAATTTGCTGACGACGATATTAAAGGGCAAGTTCGAGTCTGCGTATTTAGCAATAAACCAGGCTCGTGTAATCAACAAGGAAACGTCTACGATAAAAATGTGCCTTGTGATTTATGGTTGTAATGTACACTGTGGTTTGTTATGCCCCAACTAGTTATGCACCACACCTCATTTTATTTTATTACAACCTATATGGCTCTCATCCACTGGAAAATAAAAATGCTGATTCCATAATGGCTGTCCTACATATTTAATGCATCACACTGGTCATCTTCGGCAGTTCGGGGTTAAAAAATAATAATAATAAATTACAAAAGTACTCCTGAACCAGGGGTCAGCCCATGGTATAACTGGGACTTTTTGGGACTTTTTAACATTTCCTAGTTATACCAGGGGTCAGCTGGATAATCTGTAAATGTATGCATCATCTCTAGACGTAGATGTTTTTTCCTTAAAATGTCAATATGACCAGTCTTATAAACAGTCTTATAAAAGTTGTTTTTTTTTTTAAATACGCTAAGCTATTGTGTCTCTCACAGTCCTCACAGCTGTTTCTGCTTACCATCAAACAAGTAATAACTCAAGAATCTGAGTAATTATAAAGTCCAGTTTCACATTTTTATTACACTCTGGGATTTGGTGTGTATGAGAAAAACATTAGATCATTTTTAACATTTAGCTCCAGACGCCAAAAAAATAAATAAATAAATAAATGTGACTGAAAATGCTGTACCAGTGCAAAATGAGGTTTGGGCAACTCTAACGAGTCCTGCAATTAGACTCCATAAACAATTAAAGTAATCGCAACAAATCAGCTTTTACAAGGGTTGAAAATGGATTTAAAGGTGCCGCTGTAATTACTGTGGAGACAAAAAAAAGTAATAATTGCAATATCTGGCAAGCGATATGAGCTCAAACATCAGACAAGGACTCGTGAGCCAGACTTTTACACGCTCGTGTATTCTCTCTCCATATTTTCTCTATCAATGAGCAGCATGTCCTGCTTGCCTCATAACGTCTTATGAAGTTATCCTCGTTTTGTTGCCGTAAAGGGACGAAGAGTGTGAATGGAAGTGAAAAGTGTTGCACAGCTGCACCGCGTTCACGGTTTTAAATATACGACTGACCTGAAGAAGCTGTCACAATTTTACAAAGAAAAAAAAGGGAAAAAAGGGAGAAAAAAAGCTGCCAAGAACGAACACAAGACAACAGCGAGCTAGTGTATGTGTACTCTTACTCCTCTTCCATGCTCTACTAATCATCCAACACTGACAGGTTTTTAATTTATGTTACCTTTAATAACCTTTAAGTACAGTTATCTCACTATAAACAATTAACAAAAGAAAAAAGTGCTCAAGCTTTATATATAAGGGCTTCATCATTCATGCTTGGATTCTAAAGGAGCGCTTTATTAAATGTGAGTGCTCTAGTTTGGTGAAGACGTTACTGAAAGTCTATGCTACTGTAAGTCTTGCTTTGTCTTACAGTTGACTAATTAGTGTTCGTGTCAACCATAAGATGTTGTGTGCTAGGGATGAACATTAAAATTTTTCCCAAATCCCCAATCTGGTCACCTGCCAATTACCATCCATCTCTCCTCTATCACTCGGTCAAATGGCAAAACAAACAAACAAACAAACAAAAACAGTTTGAACTCCTGCTCATGCTGCATCACAGGCAGTGTAACACTCTGAGAAAAGCGCTATCTACCCTCTTCCACATACATAAGTTAACGAATGCCCGTGATTGGCTAGTGTCATTATGATTGACACAATAGAGACAGAAAAAGAGCAAGATGGAGCGAAAGAGAGAGAGAGGGAGAGAGAGAGAGAGAGAGAGAGGGAGAGAGAGAGAGAGAGAGAGAATATGGCCAATTTTGCTCCCTTGGCCCTGGGCCACAGATGACTATAGCATAGTTGGGATTTGAAATCACGCTCTCCCAACAATAGGACATTTGTTTTTGTCGTGCAACGCAGGAGCCCGAGTGTTAAGTTTTTTTGTTTTTTTTTCTACTTTCATGCTTTTACATGGATGTGATTCCAGCATTCATTCATCTTTAGTAACTGCCTGATCAGGGTTGCAGTGCTTTTAAATTAGGCTTCCATTTTCGTTTAGGAGGACGCTATGCGTCACGGATATGCGAGCTGAGACGTATGCGAGTGCAGCTTGCGTGAATTTTAATACGAGCCTGCAGAGAAGTCCAGAACGTAATTCAAAATTGTGGTCAAGGAATAGGCAAAAGACAGGCGAGGTACAAACAGGGCATAGAAAGCAAAACAAAACACGTGAATAAATATACAACAGGCCAAAGCGTCAAAAAGCGGAATGATCAGTACAGGCTTAAGCACGGCTTTGGAAAAGTCAGCTGTACGAGATCAAGCTGAGTGTTTACTTCGCAATTTGTGAATGAACCAAAGTCTCTTTAAATAGTGTGTGTGGTGATAGTGAAATGGGAAACAGGTGTGTGTGTGTGTGTGTGTGTGTGTAAAAGTCAGGTGACTGGGAACGTGTTAGCAATGGTGGTGTTTGGGATGTGTATTTCGAGGCGGCCATCCCTGTAGACCTTAGTGTGTTCTGGGAAATGGAGTTCGTTGATAGTGCAGACCTGACACAACTAATTTAGTTAGGAAATGCTGCAGACATGAACAAACAAACAATAATAACTACAAAATAAAGGTTTACAAAAAAACCTTCCCGCTTTGGCCACGCCCACTTCCGGATTAAATCGGAATATAAACGTCTATACGATACTGTGCAGAAGTCTGGCAAAGCCACGTGCAAAGAAATGCTGTAGAGCAAACGTTCCTTTAAAAATAATGAAACTAAACATTTCTAGGTTTTAACAAATACGCTACTGAGCAGTGAACAGTAATAAATTAATCAAAGTCAATATCTGGTATGCTTATTTCTTGACGTTTATACAAAAATGACGAAAACAGGTGTTCACAGGACTTTCAACAGGAAGCGAATGTCTGTACGTGTTTCATGCAGGTTCAAAAGTATAAACGCTCATCATTCTAACTTCATCACATATTCCCACTCTCTAATATTCCCAGGGAAGGGAATTCCAGTATTTGCACATTTCCTATACACTCACTGTATACTGTGCAGATGTTGGGATAATCCAAAACAGGTCCAGGTGTAATACAACCCTTTACATATGCCATATCCTTTTATTCTCCAGTGATGTTAAATTCTTGATTCTGATTGGCCAGAAGATTAAGTACGATTAAGTTTCTATAACAGCAGTTCTGGCTGCGAGGCAAATCACAGGTTTATATTAATGCGCTTGTTATTGTTATCGTTACTATAGTAACAGCTTTTCACAGGGATGTGTATGGCCCCATAGTGTGAACTTGGCGATGAGCTGATTTTCTTTACAAATTTGTTCATTAACAAAGAGATGTGTATTTAACTGTGAATGAGGTGGGTTTTTCTGTTATGAGAACATTTATTTACCCTTTATTTACATGTATTTACCCTTAATGCTCGAAGACTCCAATGTCGGTGCTTTGTGAGAACATTTTAACAGGTTTGTTGAAGATAGAGTGAGCAAGTGTATCCGAGGTTAGCTGAAGCTAGCTGTTTCGTATCTCAAAATCCAAAACAAACACATCCCTCCTCTCCAAAACCACGCCAGCAAATCACCAAGGCTAAACTCTAGTCCTGAACTGACAGGAGACGTGACTGACATGCACATACAGACACCTCTTGTCCTGACTGGTTCAATGTTGGTGGTCCACTTTATTTGTTTTTTCCTCCTATTTACAGAGCCTGGGGCACCTCAGCGACCAAAGTGTTTCCTCTAAATAGGTATGTTTATAACAACTGCTGGAAAGTAATTAGGAATGAGGAAAAATGTCCTGATTTAAAAATCTCTGACTCTACCTTTAAAGCGTTCCAGGAACCAAAAAAATAAATGCAGCCGTTTATATTTTACTGAGAGCTGGACAGTCGAAGCAGATCATGAAATTCAGGGGGAAATGTGCTTGCACTGTGAGTGAATAGTGATATATTCCACACCCATGTCCTTGTATGTTCTACAGTAACAGTAAAGATCAAACTAGAGAATGGAAAGTCACACATCCAACCCCCACCACTGGTCCCCAATGCTTGGACCCAATCCTAAATATCTGCGAGATCAATAAAGCAGACCATAAACCATAAAACCTGTTAAAACCCAAGCCCAAAGTACGAGGAAACAGGCTAGAAAACCTCAAACCGTCACTCCTGTGACCTTCAAACCCCCTCGTATCACAGCTCCTGTAAGCGCTATTAAAAGTGCATTAGTCCAGCCATGTGGTTTTCCGTTTCAGCTCTGATTCGTGCAGAAACACACGTTTTGTCCCCACGTCTCGTGTGAAAAGCGCTTTAAAAGCCTTGCATGCATGCAAAACTCAAGGTGTGTGTGTTCTGTCAGGACGGACACAACCGTCACGTCCATTACCCAGGCCTTTAAGACACAGCACAACATGGCGCCTCTGTTTGCTCAACGGGAATACGAAGGCACATTCCTTACTCTGGATGAGGAATTGCTCAAGTGAGTCTGAAACAAGGGGCCGCTAATGGCGCGTGGACAGACTGCTGAGGGAGGGGACGTCGCCGCTTCACGCACACATACACAGCACGGAGAGTCAGGGAGTCTGCGC